ATGTATAGTTAATTCCTAGTTGGGTTTTGCTATAAAGTAAAGCAGAAAATGAGATGCTATTCTGAAGGGAAACCATCACCATATTTCTTTAAATTTTTCTGAATATTGGAAAAAGTATTCCTTATTAATATACTTATGGGATATATTGATGGAGAAGGAATTTTATGAATGCAAAAGGGAATGAGTTGAATCACTTTATTTCATTGAGTAGATCAATGACAATGACATCTAGTGTAACCAGAGCAGTGGCATTAGCCAATAATAGTAACAGTTTGTCCACAGAAGCAGAAGAGCAGTGGAACCAGATGCAACAGACACAAACAGAGATAATTTGCATCTCAAAACATAGAGAGAATTTTTTTATTTCATAACAATAAAAGCATCACTGCATGCATCATTTGATTTGCAATGTCATGGGAGATGAGCTGCTGAAAGTAAGTAGCAGAGGAATCTACTATACTTGAGATTAGGAGAAGCTTGTAGTTACCAGCAATGAAAAAGTGTAGGTAAGAGGTTGATGGGAGATAAATGGGACACTGGGCGAGAGGTCATGGAGGATTACCAAGAACCATGATGACATCAGTGTTGGAGAGAGTGAAATTGCTCTAGTAACTACAATTTCTAACACACGAGAAGGTTAGTTTAACCTGTGTTTTAGGAGATTATGAGTGAGGACAACAAGGTAGACTGAGCATGATCACCTGATGATTCAAAAATTAAACTGAGTGGAGCTGTCTGCAAAGAAGGGAAAATGAGGCTGAACAGGGTATCCGGTAATAGAGAGGAGTGTGTACCTAACACTTGCCAAGGCCACAGCAGAAGCAGTGTCTGAAATGGGGTACCAGGTTAAAATAAAAGGAAGACAATGTTCAAAGGCAACTGAGGAAAGTTTATAATGGTTTATCTCCCTAAACCTATGGAAGGCTTGTACGCTTGTCTTTTTAAAATAAAATACAGTTAGATTTATTTATAAAATCAGATTTCTCCAAATGTCAGATATGTTTTTGATTACACGCATATACTGATTATAAGCACTCATACATGTAATACACATTTATACTCAGTATGTAAATACTAACATCCACTTTTATTACATTAATTCATATATATGTAACTATTATATTTGGTGTGGAGCCAGTAACCATGAAAAAAGGAATAACAATTCATAGTAAATAATTTCACTCATAAGGTTATAAATCATTGGGAGAATCTATTTTAAGATTCATACAAATTTCTTGGACAGGCACAGTGCCTCACACCTGTAATCCTACCCCTCTGGGGGGTTGACACAGGTGATCATCTGTGCTTTAGAGTTTGACACCAGCCTGAAGAGGAGTGATACCCCATCTCTACTAAAACTGTAAAAACTAGCCAGGATTGTGGTGGGTGCCTGTAGGCCCAGCTATTTGGGAAGTTGAGGCAAGAGATTGCTTAAACCCAAGAGTTTGAAGTTGCTGTGAGCTATGACGCCAGGGCATTTTAGCCAGGGTGACAGAGTGAGACTGTCTCAAAAAAAGAAAGAAAAAAAAAGATAAAAAATTAAAATTTAGGGCGGTGTCTGTGGCTCAGTGAGTAGGTGCGGCCCCATATACCAAGGGTGGCTGGTTCGAACCCTACCCCAGCCAAACTACAACAACAAAAAAATATAGCCAGGTGTTGTGGTGGGTGCCTGTAGTCCCAGCTACTCGGGAGGCTGATGCAAGAGAATTAGCTAAGCCCAAGAGCTGGAGGTTGCTGTGAGCTGTGTGATGCCACGGCACTCTACCGAGGGCAATAAAGTAAGACTCTGCCTCAAAAAAAAAAAATTAAATTAAAAAAACAGAAATTTCTTGACAATGAATAATAAACCTGCTGTTCAGAGAGGAATTTAAATATTATGTGTGAAAAACATAGAATTATCTGTAACACCAGAGGGCTGAGGTTAACTTAGTATACTATTTAAGCTGAAAGAAAGAAGGAAGTAGAGAAGGACTGAAAATACAACTGATATAGATAAGAATATTTAAAGGATAGATGTTAAAATAGAAGAATGTATGATTATAAACACAGGGCAGAAGTACTATCCACGATGGTATTCATAGAAAAGGATATAATGGCAAGTTGATAGGTAACTTTAGGGCCATAAAGAGACATGAGATCAGAATAGTCAATTTTCAATAACCTCAATTTCCTCCTTAAGTAATAAGCTTGGTAATCTTTAGAATTTTTCAAGTTACTTTAATTAATGATATTTTGAAGACTCAGATGACTATAAATCATATCAAACAGCTGTTCGGTAATTAGCAAGTGGTGAGACTGAATATTATTAGGAAGAACTGTGGAATCTATGGAGATATTTCCTACTACAAGATAACAATATCCCAGGTACAGCTACGAATCAGCAAATGATCTGGATTCTAAATACTGACTCATACGCAAGAATCAGAACAGGGCCTGGTAGAAAAATGTCACTGGACACATGCATGACAATCTGACTTTAAGGTTAAGCGTGATGCAGAAACTAGGGCTGAAAAATTAAATATTCATATAAATTAGTAATATATCTGAATGTAAATATAAATGAATGTGATTATTCAATCAATATATATCAAATATCAATATATATTTTTGGATACTTAAGGAAAAGGAATGATGTTAATAAATTGCAAAATTTAGGATAATGAAATTAGTTTTTACATGACCATTGTGTTTTAATATTGCATATACATATTTAGAAAGCCATTATACGCCATGCATACACTTCTGGTACAATAAAGTTTTACTATTTTTTTATGTTAGGTGTAGTCAAATTTAACCAACAATGATTGTGCCAATCAATCTGAAAGTATGAACCACACAGCACACAAAAGAATAAAATAGTTTTGTTTTCTTTCCCCCCAGAAATAAAAATTCAAGGAGTTTTGGCACCATTGGAAAGCTTATGTAATGTTTATATCTAATCCCCTGTATGCTCATAAATTTGGCAGACATTAAGAATTTAGTTTTCCTTGCTCCCTTTGGTGCTTCACTGGAGATAGAAACAAGTTATGAATTTGGTAAAAGTAATGTGAACAGCAGGGACTTAATTTATTGTATACATTTTTCTCACTATGCTCATTTCTTTGCCTACGATCAGCCTTAAATACAGACAAGTTTCATACATTGCATTTTGTTTTAAGCTCATTAACCTAACAGTCGCACCATATTTTTAAATTACATATTTAAAATAAATTACATATCTTCTCTTTAAAGCGATAAGACTAGTTTTCTGTGGACTTTTCTACAATTTGGATTTATATGATTGTTTCTAAAATAATTAAATTTAGGTTGATTGTACTTGATGACATCTCCGTAGGTAAGATACAGTGTTCTACACATTATGTCATAACAAGGCACACATAATATGACAATTCCCACTCATGGATATTCTAGTATTGATCAGACAGTTAAAGTAGTGACTGACAATTCAGGTCTTCATACAGAACAGTTTCTTCCCCCTTCAAAAAAACTGTTAGTCTTGTACAATCATATTTGGGCATCTTACAAATTTCCTGATTTTCAATTATTCAGTGAGTTAGCATTTGTGATCATTCTCAATTCTGTAATTGCATACATTTTTCACAATGATGGTTTTCTAATAATATCATTTCTTTTATACGTTAGTTGGTAACCTGTTCAGTAGAGTTAGTTAGAGTTGGTAACTCTCTAACTAACCTGAAGTTATTTGGTAACCTGTTCAGTAGATTTTTTCCTCACAAACTGAAGATGCGCTATGGTTTCAACAAGGTACAAAAGATAAATGGTCTTTAAATTTACAAACAATATTGTTATATAAGTGAAACAAAGCTCCCGTATTTAAACTAAGTAATTGACTTTAAGTTACTTTCAATTTTATCACCAGGGCACAGTCTGCATTTTGTGGTCCACACACTCATAGAATGCTTTATCTATCTTATGGCGACCTTGTGAGAAATTACAGTATTGTCATCAACTAAACCTTTTTGACCCCTGAAGAATACACTTCAGCAGAGGAGTCAAAGAAGGTCTTTTTATCCGCTAGATTCAAGACAGATACTCAAGCAATTTTCCATTACTCTTATAAAAAGTATAGCCTGGGTATCAGAAAGTTTTTGTTGTGAATATTAATATGTTATTAGTTAGGTGACTTGGATGAGTCACTCAGAAGTGTGCTAGCACTAATTTTATATTTGTATATAATAATGATAAAAATATTTATCTCATAGAATTGCTGGTCCAAAAGTACTATATATATGTATAATCTTTTATAGTATGTACTATAAATTATGTAATATTTTATAAGCACACACATATTATTAATATAATGGACTTGCATACACTCCTGCTGAGAATGTACAGAAAGGCACTTTAAGTGGTTTAGTAACATACACTAAAGCTTACTGTATGCACATCTTAGAGCCCTACCATTATCATGTACGTATATAATCATCAGAAACAAATCTTTACAATAACATAGGTTGAAGGATATTGATATGAGCACTATTTTGATAGCCAGAAATTAGAAATTAAACAAATTCCACTGAACACCAGACTGAATAAGTGAATCATGATATATTTACTAGTGAAATATTACATAACAAAAATGAACTGGATACAATTTTATTGAATTTTATGAATAAAGCTCACAAATATATCAGAAAGGGAGGTACAAAACACAAAAGAACACACCCCATGTAATCAGTTTTAGATAAATGCTTATAGTAGTGAGGATTTATCTTTGGTACTTGAAGGTTACCCTTTGGGATGCCATCACAGAAAGGTGACACAAGGGACACTTCTGAATTACAGTTAGGCTTGGGAATTGCTTAAGGTTATTCTTCTCTTTTTGCTTGAGGGCTTTAGAAAATTAATTATGGGTTTGTTCACTTTTGAAAAATTAATAGATATTTACAGACATTGTACTGTATTGTATTTATATTGTACTTTGAAAAAATAGAGATTTTACATCTTTTGTATTTACTTGGATGGAATTAAAAGAGTGGGCCCATTCCACTATCATCCCCAAGGTCTTGGCCATGTCTGGAGACCCCAAATACCTGCTCCACATGACCATGCTCTTCTGTATCAATATGCTGTCCGAAGTCTGTGGGCAGGGCATCATGATCAAGCATACGCTGCCCACTCTCCTGTGTATGGCTGGAGACCCGGTTGCCAATGTCCACTTCAATGTGGACAAGTCCCTGCAGAAGATAGGGCCCATCCTGGACAATAGCACCCTGCAGAGTGAAGTCAAGCCCATTTTAGAGAAGCTGACCCAGGACCAGGATGTGGACGTCAAGTACTCTGCACAGGAGGCTCTGACTGTTCTGTCTCTCACCTGACACTGGATGAGGAGCCAACTCTGGTGTCCACCCTACAACCTAACAACCTCCCCAAGTTCTTCCTCAGGGAGGCACTGAGGGCACTTGGCTGTTACTCCCTGTGCATAGTCTGACCCCAGACTTCTTCTCCTGCATGCTTCCTCCTCTTTCCAGCCCGGGAAGACTGCTCACTGTCCACGTCCCCAAGGAGTAGTGGAGCATAAGGTAGGACAGGATGGCAACCCAGGAGGAAGGGGCCACTCTGCCTACCTTGGGGAGAGATGTGAGCATCCCAGGTCACTGGCTCCTGCTGCTGTAATGCGGAAACCCTCCTCCATATACTTCACCTTCCTTTCTACCCTCACACTGTTTTTTTCTGGGGTGGGGTCAACTGTGCCATTTTTATTTTTTTGCTCCACCCTCTCTTTTTTGACCCTTTTCACAGAGAAATAAAGGTCTAGAAATAGTCAAAACAAACAAACAGACAAACAATCATGCCATATATAGAATACTAATTTGAAGTTAGTAGATGAACAACTACAAGCCCACATGAGAGGAGAAACATAATTAAATTCAAGAAAGTTGGAGGGAGGGTGGGCAGAAGGGGCTCAGTAAGCTCCCACTTATTGAATACTATGTGTGAGTATAATGTCCAATTTCTGGGTGAAGGGCTCAAATGCAGCTAGGACTATTCCTAACAAACATAAACAATGGAACCTAATAATGTGTCCCCTTACATTAATCCTAAGTAAATGTATATATATATACGGATATAGATAAGTAAATATATATAGAGATAGATAGATAGATAGATAGGTAGATATAAAATAATGTTTGGCACATAGAAGAAACCTGATAAATGTTTATTCTTTTTCTACATTTTTATAAATAATGAAGCTGTGGCAAAAACAAACTGACACAATGGGTGGTGCCTGTGGCTCAGGGAGTAGGGCACCTGCCCCATATGCCAGAGGTTGTGGGTCCAAACCCAGCCCTGGTCAAAAACTGAAAAAAGAAAAAAAAAAAAAAAAGACACAATCTCTTTGGCCAGGGAAGCTATCTTCATCACATTCTGGGAGCACACTTAGTTTCATTTCTTCATCCTTTCAGGTTTAAAAAATAAAATATATTTTAAGAATGTACTCTATTTCAGAAAGATTTTGTATGGATAAATCTTGTGACAATGTTAAAAATGTATGACACTAATTTTATGACTTAGAAATAGCATTTCAAAGTCCTCCTGGAATTTCATAGGACCATACTTTTTATTACCTACTAATAATGAAATAGCTGACATGAAACAGATTGGTTTTGAATATTTTCGTGATTTTGTGCTGTCATATTTTAAAGATATGTTGTATTTTTGTCTTTTAAAGTTTATTTTAGGTGCATGTTTCCACCCTACCAGAATGTAGTTAAAATTTGGACTAATATAAAAATATAACTTCAGCTAAGTTAGAATGAAATATGTAAATTTTATTTGTAAATGTGATTAAAATAGAGGAGTTTGTATAATAATTTTTTCTCTGAAAAATACATGAGTATATTTGAAATAGCTTAAAATAGACTTTTTACATGTAAATACACAAATATGATTAAATGAATTTGAATATAAATCTGAATGTTAGTAAACATGAATTATAAAGTTAAAATATTTTATATATTATATATGAATATGTTTTACGATTTTCACAGAAATCAAAATGTTTTGATATTGTAATTCTTTTTTTTTGAGACAGAACCTCAAGCTGTCCCCCTGGGTAGAGTGCTGTGGCATCACAGCTCACAGCAACCTCCAACTCCTGGGCTCAAAGCAAGTCTCCTGCCTCCACCTCCCAAGTTGCTGGGACCACAGGCGCCCACCACAATGCCTGGCTTTTTTTTTGGTTGCAACCATCATTGTTTGGTGGCCCAGGCTGGATTCGAACCCACCATCTTAGGTGTATGTGGCTGGTGCCTTAGCCACTTGAGCCACAGGCCCTGAGCCTATATTGTAATTCTAACTGAAGTAGTTCTACATAATAACCATGTAATTTAGTTTCAAAACAGCTTTTTTTCTTTGATTTCTTTAATTTGAAAGGCACAAATACTATTCCTGTTTCCCTCACTGAACTGATTTATTATTGAACTGAATTAATTTTAGAAAGATTTGGAGAGCTTACATAAAATATGCAAAGAATATTTTCATTTGATTTGGGTTCTTCAGTAATTAATAATGACAGGTGTGATAAGGAAAATAATCTAAGTTTTTAAATATCTAATTCCACTATTTCCACTGGGCAATAAATTGAATATCAAATTTCATTCCATAGGCCAGGTACAGCTGCTCACACCTGTAATCCTAGTGATACAGGGCAGGTGGCGCCCCAGCTCTGCCAGCACCAGGCTGCCTGGGAAGGCCTGCCGCTCGTTTTGCCTTGCCATGTTGTGGCTCCCAGGAGTGTTGGTGCGGCTGGACGCGTGGAGGTGAAGGCTGGAGAACCAAGTGCCTCGGAGAGGGGCTAGCATAGCCAAAGCCCAGAGTTCTCTAGGAAATTGAGGGAGACCATGACCCAGCCCACACTGCTGTCCCAGCAACCCTTTCTTTCCCCTTATTTCAGAGTCCAGTGCCAACCAGCGTGGGACTGCCCTCTGCAGCGCACACACAACTTCTGAGGCTGAGAGTGACCGTGATGTCCAGTTCCTAGGCCTGGGCAATTTCATGAAGGGAATGGCTCATTCACTTTGCCCTTATGGGGAGGGACTGTATCTGTTCATTTGTTACCAAGTCCTGACCAAAGATAACCACAAAATCCCATGCAACTGTATATACCCCTAGACAAAGAATCCAGGCAGAGAAGAGATTTTCCGGACTTGGGTCTTTTCCTCTGCCAGGCGCTCTGGTGCTTTTTCTGTATTTCACTTTGGCTAATAAATCCTATCTTACCAAATATCTGTGGTCTGTGAGCTCATTCTTTAGATCTCTGAGACCAAGGACCTTCTGAAGAAAGAAATTCAGGTAACACTAGTGCTCTGTGAGGCCAAGACAGGTGGATCGCCTGACTCAGGAGTTCTAGATCAGCCTAAGCAAGAGCAAAACCCCCATCTCTACTAAAAATAGGAAAACTAGCTGGACGTTTTGGCAGGTTCCTGTAGTCCAGGTACTTGCAAGGCTGAGGCAAGAGGATTACTTGAGACCAGGAGTTTGATGCTGCCGTGATTATTTTTTTTTGGGGGGGGGTGCAGAGTCTTACTTTGTCACCTTCAGTAGCATGCCTGTGGCATCACAGCTCACAGCAACTTCAAACTCTTGGGCCAAAGTGATATTCTTGCCTCAGCCTCCCAAGTATCCGGGACTATAGGTGCCTGCCACAATGCCAGGCTATATATATATATTTTGAGATGGAGGTGTTGCTCTTGCTCAGGCTGGTCTTGAACTTGTGAGCTCAGGTGATTCACCCACTTTGGACTCCTAAAGTACTAGGATTACAGGTGTGAGCCAAAACACCCAGCAGAAGTTGCTGTGATCTATGATGCTTCAGTATTCTACCGAGGGCGACCAAGTGAGACTTTGTCCCCCTCCCCACGAAACAATTATTTCATAAATACTGGACCATATGTTAGAGATTATTCAATATAAACCTCTTCAGAATAGCAGAGACAGTATAGGATTTTATATGTATACATTTTTCAGGACACAAGTAAATCACTTGGGGAAGGCTTACATTAAATGAAGACATGAAAAATTAGATCCCTTAGAATTATGCATTTGTTTTACAAGGCACAAGCATTTTTAATTACTAATATTTGATACTGACCCAATTTTACACTAATCCCAATGATATTAAGAATTGGCAATGTGTATCATTGCATGCTGTAAATGTACTGTAATCTAATATAACTTTCTGTAAAATTGGTCCCTATTGGTAAAGAAAAGGAAACTATTAATAAGAAAAACATTCTTAATTCTTTTAGATTTTCTGTTTTACCATGTTTACCAATTTACAGATGCTCATATTTAATTATTCATCAATATGATGAGCATACATTATAAAAATATTTCTAAGAGAGATTAAGATAAATGTACATAGTGGAGACTTTAATGGTAAGAAATATTAGCATATATCTTTCAAATAAAAATAATAAGGTTCAGCACCTATAGCTCAGTGGTGAGGGCACCGGTCACATACACTGAGGCTGAAGGGTTTGAACCCAGCCCAGGCCTGCTAAACAACAATGACAATGGCAACAAAAAAAAATAGCCGGGTGTTGTGGTGGGTGCCTGTAGTCCCAGCTACTTGGGAGGCTGAAGCTAGAGAATCGCTTAATCCCAAGAGTTTGAGGTACTATGAGCTGTGATGCCACAACACTCTACCAAGGGTAATATAGTGAGACTGTGTCTCAAAAAATAAAGTATTAGAATAATTCACCAAAGTAAGGTCATAGATTATTTGGGGTCAGTTCTGGTAGATAATTCATAATCCATCAATATTTATTATTGAATTGTTTCTAAATACAATTTTAAAAGCTCAATTTATTATATTCTTTGAAAATGGCACAATAAAAATAAAACATTCTATTAAACTCTGAGCATATTATCAATTCATTGCTTCTACAACTCTTCCTGTGGTGACATTATATGTCTCTTAATTATATGTCATTTTAACTGCTACAGCATATAAGTACATATTAATTTTTACCTGTATTTTCAAAAAAGTATATTTTAAAATTCTGACAGTCTACTAACTTCCTGCAATTAGTTTTCCCTAATATGTCTTCTTTGATCTATCTTTCCCACAGAACATATCTTCTGTCAGAAGGATTCAGTCTGCCTGATCTGTCTTCTTTTTCTTTTTTTTAAAGAATTAAAATCATTTCTCCACTAGCAATTACTCTGGCTTGCAAAAACATAATCTATTTACTCTGTTAAAATCTATCAATCGAGTAGTGAATATTTTTCTTCTTAAAATGTTTCTTTATTATAATTATTAGTATCTTTAAGTTATTTACATTAACTACTTGAAGCCATATCCTCCTCATTATGAAGCAGAACTTGGCTAACACGGCTCAATTTGAAAATGTCAGGTCCTCTCTCTGGTATTTCTTGATGTTATTGGAACACAGTTCAAAACAGCCAAGGTATAGTATCAACCTA